AGGACTTGGCTAGTTTATTTTGCCATTAAAGAACTAGTCACAAAAACTGCTCCCATTCAGAATATTTATGTTTGTGGTTTTGTACTGCTTTGATTTCATTTGTAAACATGATACTACTGTTTTGATTGTTTCACTCTTTTGCTGGCCTACAGTAGTGTAATTATATCTTGAAAATTTGTAAATGTTTTACTGAATTGTGTGAGAATAGATGAGTGACATTGAAAGCCTTTTTCTAAGCAGAACTTCAAGAATGATAATATATGGTTAGTTTTTTGATGGCATCTATTGAAGTTGTTTTTGCTGCACTTTAACCCATAATCTGTAAATGATGGCAGTATAATGAAATATTGGTTCCTTGTGTTAATTAAATAAAATGTTTTAAATGGTCTTTACAGAATCTCGCCAGCCATTGAAAGTGCTGTACAAACTTTTTTTGGTCTAATACCAATTTAATTATAAGAAAACCTTCTTTGTTATTAACCCAACAACAGAAAATTATGTACTAAACATTTAATTTTCTTTTTTTTTTAAATTGATTTACATTTGCTGCTCTTGAAATTTTAAACGAGGAAAAAATTTGGAATGGTGCCTTCCTCATAATCAATTTGCAGAGTAATTTTTGAATTTGATATAATGTAAGACCAAATGACTAGACTTGAATTGAAATAAGATGTTTAGAAAAGCAGCAGATTGAAGTTATTTATGTAGCATTGTCTCCTTTTTTTTTTGCAGACTATTACCACACTTGCTTCCTTTGCTTGTTATTCACTGAGCAGTGTTTTTTTTGTGTGTGTAACACTCCTGCTTACTGCTTTCTCCTGCAGCCTGGTATCGTGTCGCCGTTCAAGCGCGTCTTCCTGAAGGGAGAAAAAGGGAGGGACAAGAAGGCCCAGGAGAAAGTGACAGAGCGCAGGGCCCTGCACACCGTCCCGCTGTCCCTCCCAGACCACCGCGTCGACCCTGACATACTGCTCAACGACTACATTGAAAAGGAGGTCAAGGTCTGCATTCTTTTACCATTATGCAGGAGGAAGAGAGTTGTTTGCTGCCTTAGCCTCCTCTTATTTAGTTTAATTTTCTCATTTTATTTTTATCAAACCTTTCTGATTTAAAGTGTTGCATTTAGCTCAGTACGCAACACACAAGTGGATTTTAAAATGTTTAATTGCAGAATGCTCAATTACACAAGAATCTCAAAATGTTTGTTAATCTAGCAGAGTTACCATAAATGTTGCACTAAATTGTCTCCACTAATAGAGGTACTGTACACCTAGATTTTAAAATACCATAGCAGGTTTTTACTTCATGTTTAAATAATCAGTATTTTTGTACGGCTTTATGTAAATAGTGGACTGTCACAGTATATGTACTGGGACCACTGTTCCACCCTAATGTAAATCAAAGATCTAGATTCTGGTACAGTTAGTATACTAGTCAGATTTGCATAAGCTATCAAATGAGGAATTTTAGTTAATACTATAGAAGGAAAAAATCAATTTCAAAACAATTTAGTTAAATCCCAATACTGGGCAGACACTTGGCTGATGGTATTTAACATAGTCAAGTTCAGGGTGTAACATGCAAGTAGTAAACCATAAATATAAAATGAGAAGCACCGAGCTACAAGAGGCTACTTGTAAAAAAGTCTTGGATGTTAAATTGTCACCACTTACACTTACAGGTAAACTGTCGGTCTATGAAGTTAAGTATAGAATTCAAATCAAGAGATGTTAAAATTCCACAGTGCTTTAGTAAGTCCTCATTTACAGTATTGTGCACAATTTTGGTCATAATATCCCAAAAATATTGCTAAGAACATTGTGGAGAATAGTAATCAGATGTATTCCAGGAATATCCTATACTGACAAGCTAAAAGAACTGGACCTTTTTAGTCCTGAATAAAGAAGACTGCTATGGGACTTGGTATACGTATTTCAAATCCTCAAAGGCATAGAAAATGTCATTTCAGTGGAATAATGAGTGAAACACAAACCAGACGGTGCAAGTGGAGACTATGTGAAAGTTGTTTTAAAACCAAGAACAGTCGACACTTCCTTACCCAAAAGATTATCGATGTATGGCTGCCCAGTCATGTGGTTGAAGTCGACTTCAAATTGTTCTCTTTTTTATGTTTTCATGTAGTAGAGGGATATAAGTGTTAAAAGAAAAGAGAAAACATTCAGGGATAATTATATTTTATTGAAGTTTTATTTACAGTTTTTATAGTATTTATAGTATATATAAATACCAGTTTTTTATTTTTTTAAAAATATACACAACAAATTGCATCTCTAAATACTAAATTAGAAAACAAAGCTTTACAGTAAAAAAGTATTTCTAATTACTTAGAAACTTTCAAGTTATCACTCAGAAATAAAGAGGGAGTGCCAGAAACTTTAGACATGTCTAAAACCCTTCCATTCACTCACTATCAGTAAGCAGCTTATCCTGGTGCAGGCTGTGGCAGAGAAAGTGTCTGTTCCCTAGACACGGGTAGCAGGGCAGAACTGAAAATCATGGCAGCTGTCACCCTGAGCAGGACGCAGTGACCATTCGCAAGGCCATGAAGAAGTGAACAATTTTCAGTACCCAATCAAATCTAGGTAGCATGTCTCCTTCAGAAACTGGAATTCTGGGGAACAAAAATTCAGGACAGCTTGCAAACTCTGCATAAATTCGAAAGCTGGAATCGATTGCACAACCTAGGTGTTGTGAGGTATTAGTGCTAACCTCACTACCCTGTCATAAACCGCAAAACTCTACAACTTCTTTAAAATATGAAACCGAGAGCAAAAACAGGAAATGTTAGCTTTTAAGTTGGATAATATTTGTGCGTTATGGAGGGTGTTAAATTAATGTAAACAAAAATCTTGTACCAGATTAAAATATGAGATAAAGCCGTTAGAGTCATGAATGAAAATTGAGCAAATGTGTCACATGTTTCTATGGCATTATGAGATGGTAGTGTAACATGAAGGCAAAAATTAAAAAGCTAAAAAGTTCATGTATCTTTACTTAAGTAAGTATTGAAGACAATTACAATCGAGCACACAACAAAATAATTTGTGGTTTCCCGAGTCCAGACTGAACTACTTTTTAAATTTGACCAAACTTTACAGCAAATTAGCAGCAAGGTAATGCTAATTTCTAGAAACAAACCTTCCACAGTACAGTCTGCTCTCTGATGCTAAAACTAATACAAAACTGAGAAATCTGTCTCTAAACTTCATATTGCACCCAAGGGTTACAAGTTTTATGCAAATATACTGTATTCTTTTTGCTGAATATACTAAAAATACTTTCTATACTGACTCTGAAGCATTTAACAGGACTGGCCCAGATAACAGTTAAGCTTTGACAAATATTTGAATGTTGGAGTAAAGTACTCCAACGAGGAGTTATAAACGAGGACTTTCAGCCCATCTCTGGCCAATATGATAGTTAGTAGCTAACTGATCCAAAGATCCCATCAAGTTGAGAATTTTATATATTTGGAATCGCTCAACATAGTGAAATCTTTTTATGTAATTCAGTTGTTTTTATAATTCAGTACAATTAATGGCACCATTTAAGTAACACAAATCTTAATTTAAATTAAAATCATTTGGTAGTTTAATCAATTTCCAACCTCTAGGTTCCCCATTACTTAACATCTTGGAAGTTTTTCTCGTGACACACAGGGGCATACTGTTCAGCATTGGTAGATTGTGTCTGCCTGTGTGATATGTGATCATGAAGGATATGAATCCTGTCCTTTTTTTCCCCATGAACACTTCATGATTCAGCAGGATCACCGATTACAGAGATGATTGAGTTATGATACTTTACCCTTTTTTACAGTATTTGGGGCAGCTCACATCAGTACCAGGATACCTGAATCCATCCAGTCGGACTGAAGTATTGCATTTAATTGATAATGCAAGGGTGAGAAACTGGATTAATATCTGTCAACTTTTTCAGGCAAAGATTTGTTACACAAAACTTAAACCATGTTAAAATGAAGAGTAGTTGTATACAGGCAAGTAAAATGAGTTAATACAGGCACATTTGTTTTGTTATTCTACTGTCTTTATCTGTCTCTCTTCTCATTGTTAAACACTTTTTTTATGTTTATCATCTTTCTAACAAGAGAAACCAAAATATCTCTTCCCTTTGTTGATTACTTTAGCAAACTCTTGTACATCATAGTATGTGGAATATTTATGTTCACTATTTTTATATTACATTAGCAGTCTTACTTGCGCTAACCAGATGAATGTGTGAAATATTACTGGTACATTTAGAACAAACTGAAATAAATTAGCAATAGAGCATTAACATTACATGTAAATGCAATTACTGACTTGTTCATAAAATACATTTTTCTTGACTTGTGTGATGTATATTTTACCAGAGTTTCTACAATGTATAACGATCTTTCCGTTGGGATAATTATTTGATTTTGGGCACAACTCTTATTTTTCCTCTGGATAGCTAAGCTTAGTGGCTGCATGGGTTTTCTGTCTGAAAAGGAAGCTGAAACAGTATGTTTTGTTTAGAAAGCTCACCAGCTCCCTGGCCAGCTCACAGCAGAGCAGGACGCTGTGGTCAGCCTGTCTGCATACAATGTTAAACTGGTATGGCGGGATGGGGAGGATATCATACTCAGGGTTCCCATCCACGACATCGCAGCTGTGTCCTATATCAGAGACGACTCCCTGCATCTGGTAGTGCTAAAGACAGGTAATTCTACTAGCTGGTTATTACACCGCTATTCAGAGCATTACCACAAGTTAATATAGTGTTGTGAGAACACGTATCAGAAGATTTTTTACTATACAAGCCCCAGGCAAATGCATAACTGTAAGTACTGTAAATATTTTAAAAGTGATAATTGTAGAATCATAAATAAATGGAAAATGTACTGTTTCTCTTTATAATATTTTTTCCAGATTGATTTAATTTTTAATGCAGGTTATAGCCTATATATTATAACCCAAGAATAATATGAGAAAAATACATTAAACTGTGGAATTAAAGGGACTGCAAAAGGTCAATTTGGAAGAAAAAGCAGTATAATATTGAACTTAGATCTTTTTTATTAGAACTTAGACCTATTTATTAGGCTTAGTTTGTTAACTGCATGAAATTGCTGTCATTACTAAAACTATATTTATATCTGTTATAGGTATAGTGCTACTTTACATAGCACATGTTCAGATTAGATCATTCAGTGTGTTTGAAATGGTACTGGTTTATCTTGTGCATCAAACTTAATGATTAATAATGGTGTTCAAGCTAATGAAGCCTTAATGCATTGCTCTGTGTTATTTTGTAGTCCATTCCCTGTCTGAAGGCCTATACTCTATTTTGACTAGCTCAGGAACCCGGAAGCTCACCCTGTTCCAGTACATGTCCTGAGGTTTCCAAATCTCAAACGCTGGGATCCTTGTCAGAGAGTGGTGCTGTGCTGGTTGAAGTCTGTTGTCTGCTTGTCCTGGCTGCAGAGAATAAGGTAAATGTCCCCTTGTTCCTGGGACTGGGATATGACCTTGGTGAGTATGCTGATGTCTTATGCACAGTATAGTGATTACAACTGATTTCAATTACATTTATTCTAGGCAGCAGCTGAGGAACTCTGCTTACTTCTCAGCCAAGTCTTCCAGATTGTTTACACAGAATCAACTATAGACTTTTTAGACAGAGCAATATTCGACGGGGCCTCTACGCCTACAAGACATCTCTCTTTGTACAGTGGTGAGTACGTGCTGCTTCTTAACAGTGTTGAATGTGGCCTCTTTCAGCGAAACCACATTTCCATTTAACTATGTCTTGCATGTTGCTGTTCTAGTGCATCTCTGTTACGGCTGCATTTTGGGGTCTAGTGTGGGAAAGAAAGTCTTTGGTTTTTGAACAAATGTATCAGCTCATTTCAGGTTTGGTAATAAGACCTTGAGTTGAACTTCAAACATGGTTTCCATACTACCACAAAGAAAGCAACTTTTCAGACTATGGGTTTACTGTGAATTGATAGACCTTTTTGTAATGCTGAGCAGTGTTCCTTTCATTTTGTTTGTCAAATTACAATGGTTGATGTTTTTTACTTTGAATTTTGTAGATGATTCCTCTAGTAAAGTCGATGTTAAAGAGGCCTTTGAAACAGAAGCAAGTACATTGTAAGTATTTTTATCGCCTTTTCAGAATATCTTTTAGAAATCTCCATTGTAATTGTACCAAATTATACCAATACCTCCAAAGTGAGGTGGGATGGATCAAGACTCCCTGGGATGGATGTAGATTTCCTTTCCATCTCCCTTTTATTAAATTTTGGATTTGTGAGGTGCAGCTAGATACATAAATATGTTTTCTAACATATAAATAGGTTACTTTTTTCCTTTCAGGAGGTGTTTTATCCATTTATAAATTTTCAGGTATCCTTTATATATATGTATGCTTTGTTGTAACTTCAGAAAAAAATGACATTTTAATCCTCCTTGACTAATCTTGTGCAATAAAGTCAAACAAAAAGCAGTAAATTGGCTATTCTATTACAGCTGATTTGTTCTGAGTTCTGAATTTGCTGTAAAGTATGTCCACTCCTGAATATTTAGTTGTGGCCAGTCAGCTTTTAAACCATGAACTCAGCCTTCTGAAGATATTAATTTGTATACAATCTATACTGGGCAGTAAGGTTTGCAGACGAAAGTGTTTGAACCTTCTTTCTTTAGCTCCTTCCAGGGCTCCCTAGATACAGGGGGGAATTCACCCTCATCCTCATCCACCCCAGCCTCCCCCCAACCAAAGACAGTTAGCGAGAGTGAGCTGAGCACCACTGCTGCCGAGCTGCTGCAGGACTACATGATGACGGTAAGAGGGGCTTGGGCCTGCTCAGTTAGGGAGCATAAATGATTGCATGAATGATGCACAGGGAATGCTTACCATTTTCATATAGGTACAATAGAAACCACTTAAGACACCCTTGTGGAGTGAACAGTCATTATCTCTCAATCTCTTTCTACTTTGAACAGTTTGTTCATAATGGACACATAAAATCAAACGAAAGATGTATCCTCTTAGACTACCCTCTTCTTTGTGTATTTCTTTGTCAGTTTGGGATTTATAGAGCAGCATCCTGCTTTTTCCCAATTCTCTTTGTCTGGCTTGTAGAGATATGAGATAAGAGGTGTGATGTGGGGTTCTGCGGAGCTTCTACATTATTTACTTTTTCAGCAAGTGACAGTTCATTTCTCTGAGACATTTTCAGCTCAAGTTGCTTTTTTGTTAAGTCGTTCACCTTCCAGAAAACGGGTAGGAAAGCCCACCAATGCCATCAAGCTAAAGAAGAATTTTATTTTTTATCATGCCCTACAAACAGAAATTGACTTGAATGTTTAAATGGAGAAAAATGCTTTACTGTTAAATTAATTCTCTTCATTATTGATCACCTGGCCTGTTCTACATTCTTTTTGATTTTTATGTTTTGTGTTACGTGTGAATGAGTTTTACTGCTTTAGCTCACTTTAAAAAATATGGGAATGAAACTATGGTTAACTGGACATACACGTAGATTTTGTGAATATTAAGGACGATTATTTTTATCATTTTCAAATAAACACTTTCATTTGTCAGAACACAAGAACTCCACATTTAAATTTAAAAAATGTTTGTCAAGTGGTATAACACTATTCTTCTGGCACCTGTAGCTGCGGACAAAGCTGTCATCCCAAGAGATCCAACAGTTTGCCATGCTGCTCCATGAGTACAGGAATGGGTCCTCCATCCATGAGTTCTGTATCAACCTACGCCAGCTTTATGGAGACAGCAGGAAGTTCCTCTTGTTAGGTGACTATGCTGGGAGTAGGATCGGGGGACATAATTTTGGGCTGCTTTTTCTTCCTTTATATCCATTTGTAAACGTATACACTATAATAATCTGTTGTATAACTTAGTGGTGTCTGAGTTTTACAAAATACATATTTAAAAAATGTTTAGGCTATTTAAATCAATATGCAATACAGTACTGACTTTGTTTTATCATGGTTGTTCCTTTAGCAATCTACTTACAAGGTTTCCTGACAGTTCTTTACTAAACTTTCTCCTTTACATTCCATTCCCAGGACTCAGGCCATTTATCCCAGAGAAGGACAGCCAACATTTTGAAAATTTCTTGGAGACAATTGGGGTGAAGGATGGCAGGGGCATCATCACTGACAGTTTTGGGAGGTACCGACGGACAATGAGCACAGCCTCCAACTCCACTACCAATGGCAATGGTGCAGCTGGTGGCTCCGATGACCATTTAGTGCCCTCTGAAGGCGATGAGTGGGACCGCATGATATCAGACATCAGCAATGACATTGAGGCACTGGGCTGCAGCATGGACCAAGACTCCTCCTGAGGAAGGGAGCTGGGGTGGGGGGCGGTGAGGGTCATGGGTATGGATGGATATGGATTTTGTGTATGGATACCATTTGGTCTTCATTGTACCACCATTTTGCACTGCCTTCTTTTCTGTAACTCCTTGTTGCAGTTTACTCCTGTAATGGTCAGATAGGTGGCTTCTGCTTCCACAGTTTTATATGGATGAGCAAGCTTTCCACTATGAGCTGTATACACAGCTTCCAAAAAATGTAGTAAATCATGACCTAGATGTCCCTGACTGAGCCCATGTATAGTAGTAGTAGAAAACAAAAGTAGCAGCAAAACTAGATTTCTATCTTCTTGTGTTATATGTAGACTGAAGTCATATTTTCCTCTTATGGTTTTTGACATGTCTGAACCCCTCATACGTTTTAATCATGTTAATCATACTTTATTCAGTTAATCTGTAGTGTAGTTTCTTAACATTTCTAGTCTTCTGTTATTGTTAGCATTAAAGTCATCACACTTAACGCTGTATCTTATACCTAAATTCTGGTATCCATTGTAAAACAGAGACAAGTTACGACATTACCCTGCACAGTATTTTTTGAATACACTTCAAACAGTACTTATTCAATGCTTTGATATCTCAGAGTTAATAAAAGCAACCCTTTTTCTTCACTACCTAGGACACCACCCTAACATTTAATCTTTAAAAACATTCTTTGTGAATTCGCATTAGTTGGTGCATGTCATTTAAAGAAGGCTCCTGTCCATAGTTTTAAAAGAAAAATACACTTTACACAAGACCAATCAGTGGTTGATAAAATAACATTGTTATTATGATATTAAGCTTATTCAGCATTTCCAAGTCTTAAATGACTGGAAAAATTATGAGTGTAAAATAAGTTTTAACAAACCACCTTTACCGAGCAGTCTGTGCACACAGACAGAACCATTTTAAGACAGTTTTGCTTTTTCTAAAACACTCTTCTTTGAACTAGAACATGCAATATTTGAATAATTTTAAATATTATTCAAGAGTGAATGAATATAGCGCATTCATGTGTTAACTGTTTAAGCTGCCTTGACCATTGTTTTCCCGTTGCTCAACAGTGTTTCAGAACATTGGGAAAAAATACAGTATGAAGCAGGATTATTTGCATCTGCAAAACTAGTCAGATAATAGTTTATTTTTATCTAATTGTTTTTACCATAACAGGGTGCCTAACCCTGTTAAACAGCTTGTCTCAGGGGTTATGAATAACAGTTTCTTTTGGTGGTAGGAAGTTTGGATTTGCTTGCCAAGAATTGAAACCATTTCTCACTTCTTGCTTTTTTTGTTCAATTTTAGCTCAGCTTCAGTTTTTGCCTTTCCAACTTCTTCATGGCAAAGAGAAAGTAACTTGGCACTCGAACAAAAGTGATACTATTTAAAGTGATTTAAAAACAAACCTGATTTAATGTACTCCATGCTGATCTGTTCTTGTCACTGGAAATTTACGCATCATGAAAAGTTTTGATTTTAACAACCTGCATTAATAGGATGAAAATAGGGCTCTCATTGCTTAACAGTTGAATTTCCCTTACAAGACTTACAAGCTATGGAGTCTCATACAATAAGAAAACACCAGCGTCTTGATGTTTTGAGCATGCTACCTTATTTTGAATACATTTCCATTGGCATATTTAGAATTTCAAAAAAACAATTTGCTTTACTAATTCAGTGAAGCTTGTAAGCAATCTGTGGGTTGTACAACCTAATTTATCTACCTATTACACAAAGCGAGTCTTATTTCTGTCCCTTAAGTTGTGGAGTGTTGCAGTTATGTGTTAAGATACAATGAGAAGGCATTGATTTTCAAAAAGGAAAGCAGATGATACAGATGATTTTTTTATCTTCAGTATCTGTGCTGAAGAAGTGTATTTTTTGACCATCTGTGATCTGTAGCTTTTAAAAAGGAAATTATTTTTTGTTTTCTTACAAATTGCTTCTTTATAAACAATTTTCAGTATTTAGTGCTGAGTACATGCATTGCCACAGGGAGCTGGATTTAGGGTCCTAAAACTGTATATCATCATTAGAGATGTATGTGAACGGTACAGCATGACAAATGGGCCAGGAAATACGTAGGCCATTTCACTTTTTCCATTTTGCTCTCTTTAAATTGTGGAATTCTGAGATTCAAGACTTAAGATTTTTGTGGTGCCTTTAATGCTGGTGACCCTGCTTTTTCATCTGATCATCATGAGAGGTGCCGCAAGTATCCATTTTTGTGTCTGAGCATACAGTGGCTGTGAATTCTTAAAGGCCCATGTGTTTGATTGCACTGTGAATTAATGTCTTTATAAAAATGTTTTGATAAAAAAATGTTTTGAGGCAGTGTAAAAAAAATTGATTTAATGTTTGTCTGACAGTTCAGCTAAATGTAATTTGTTGAGCTAAACGTGCTGGTTGTTTGCCCATTTCTGGTCATTTGCAGTTGCAGATGTAGTTATTGGCACTCTTCATTTGATAGTGTTATTTTTAAAACTTAATAACAGTGTTATAAACACATATGAAGTTGCTGGTGTTAAGTTTTTTAAATCCTGTCTGAACTTAAATTGACTCAAGATTTACTGCTAAAATGAATGATTAAACTTTGTACAGATATTAAGTAATCTCTGTAAATATATCAAGGATAAATATGCATTGTGTAACAAAGTATATTAAGATAAAAGAAATATGAAATAAGACTTTCAAATTAAGGACATGCCAGTAATTTTCCTTTCGACTGTATGGTTAAGTCGTCATTGTTAAAAATGACTGATGGACTTACTTGTCTCAAGAAATTGATTCTTCAGTTCTTATATTTCCTAAACCTAAGGGGTTATTTTTAATGTTTACCTTCCCTCAGTGAAAAATTAGATGCTGTGTTTACAGTATCTGCATTACAACATATAAAAGGGAAATGTAATTATCCCAAACCTGTGCTGTTTGCAAATACTTCTTGTTTTCATTTTAGAGTTCCCTTTCTTCTTTCTTTCTTTCTTTAAACCCTAATAAATTCAACGTCACCATAAAGAAAAAAAAAACATAATTTTAAACCCAAGCTCACATGCATTAATTATGTTAAGGGATATTTTCCCTCATGATTTTTTATAACGTATCATTCTTAAGTAGCATTTTGGTTTCAGCAAGAAATCAAGAATGCAGCTATGAAACTTTTCTATCTTTTAAGCAGATATAAGAAAGCTAGCTAATGTTTTTAATTCTCTGTGTTTGAAGTCAGAATACCCATCTGCAAGCTGATCTCAATTGGTGTTATTGATCATGGCTGAAAGGAAAGGAAAATCTTAAGAATTTGTCATTTAAATTGTAAAGAATAACGCTGGCATCTACATGGCTACACTTGGTACAAAAAGGAAATATAAAATAACTGCTGGATTCTTTCACTTCTGATTACAGGATCTTTAGTTTCATAGTGTGAGCTTACAAACTCTGTTTCTCATCATCTTTCCCTCTATGGGTTTTTTACTTATACAGTCTTGTATAAGACTCCAGAATTTACCAAAAACCACTGTGAAGTTTCAAAGGTTTTAATAGATGGCTGCTATTCCAAATTATGACTGTGACATTTTTTTTCTTTTAATGGGACTATAACATGGTCCTGATTTTTGACCATGTAGCTAAAAAGGTGGTGTTGATGTCTGTGTAACCTTGAAGCATTTCCGCTACCAGCCTTGAAAGAATGAATCGTTAACTGTATAGGTAGCTGTATAATAAGCTCCATACTGTACTTGAGAATTGATTCAGAATAGTTTTACTGGGGTGCTCTAAATATTAACTTTATAAATATAAGCCACTTATATCTTTCATCATACCTTACAAATTTTCAAAGGTCAGATGACCAGGGATAGATAGCAATCACTGCATACATAATGTTTTCATAGTTTGTTTACATAATCTATTGCACTCTGACATGCATCTGCAATCCAAGCTGTCAGATTTAGATCTAAATGGAATTTTACAGCTGTGCAAATTATACTCACTCCAAAAGTCTCTCAGCATGTCTTCAGATGTATTAATATTAATGTAATAGAGAAGTATTAATGTTACATCATTTTCAAATCAACCTTACTAAGTACAAAGGTTCAGGGTTCTTCTTTTATGTGCTGCAGTAGCAATTGGTCTAGATTTGATTTTGTTTTTATGAGCATTATTGTACCTGCCATATGAATGATCTGTTTTTTGTTTGGAAAAGACACAATTGCAAAACAAACACCAGATCAGACGTTAATGTTGTGTTATCGCTTATTAGTTCATACCAATGTGTCTAACATAGGCAGTACTGACACACCTTGGAGCCTTTATTTTGCAGTAGGTGGCATTTTGTTTCTGCCGACATGCTCTCTGAGGAGTTTTGAAGTCTTGTTTGTATAGCTGAAAATCTGAAAAGGAAATTGAGTTACACAAAGCAGAAAGCAAAGACTCATTTTGGATTACATGAACAAGCTATGACACTTTTTAAAAAAAGTAAATCAGGACATTTGATTGTCCTACTGTGTTTCCCAATGGAAATAATAAATTGGAGTATCTTAATCAATGTATCATTTGAATAAGATGGAAAGAGAGAGCAATAAGCTTTACAATCCTGAAGACAGGTTGGTTTGTATCTTATTTTTTGTGTGCATTTGTTTTGGGGTGAATAATCAAATTATGAGCATCCTGCAAATGCTTCATGTAGAGAAACAAGTGTAAGGGTTGGAGTTAATGGTCCATGATTTCATTAATATGTAATTTTGCAATAGAGATTTCCTTTGCCATTCAACAGAAAAGGAATTCCCAGAAGAAACTTAGTGGTTTGGGAATTTTTGGTGTTCTTGTTATTCCTTTTGGTTGGTTTCCAGCCTTTCCAAGTGCTGAATTCCTTTTCAATTCCCACACCTGTTTTCAACCACCACATGGTATTGGCTGTTTTTTATACTCCAATAACTATGGAAATTTGATATAATAAAAACAATTCTACAGAGATAGATCTCTATGGAGATCTACACTCCATAAATATTCAGAATATACTGTACAGTGTACACCTTAAATTCAATGCTGTCTTCATTAATTACATCAAATATATTTGTGAAGCAGAACATGTTTTTAAACATGTATTGAGTAACTAAATGAGAAGGCTGGTGCTTTTTCCCCGTATTCAAAGGTGGGATGTTGGATTGGAGTAATGACAGTTTGGCCTTAAATCCAACTCCACACCACATTTAACTTTTCCACATACTCCCAGTAGTAGTTTTGTGCACTACAGGTTGGAAACATGTTCAAACGGACCTTCATTACAGTTTCTTATGTAATCCTTGCCAATTGGCACATTATTTTTTCAGCGTTTTAGTGTTATCATTTTTTCCCCAGTGTTTTAGATAATTTCTTTACACAGCATGAAAAATGCCTGAAGTGTTCTATAACCCTCACAAGGATAAGCAATTTTCTGACGATAGATGGGTGTTCTTTGGTATGCTTTGCTTTGTATCTGAGAATGTTTGCTTTTTTCATGGTGTCAGGGTTACCTTTGAGTGCCTTTGATAATTGTTTCTTTGCTTGCTTGTGCTTGAGTGTTGTTTCTTTATACCACCAGCTTCTAAGGTTGTCTTTGTATGGCTTTCCCTGCTGATTTTGGTGCAACAGAACAGTTAGGTCATGCTGGTTTGTTAAATCTCCACTGTTCAATGTAGGCTGTTTTCATGAGACTTTATTGGTAGGCAAGTGTTTTCCTATTTGGAGCTACTTGCCATAGAATAACAGGGATAGAAGTTATGTGTATGAATCTGAAGAAAATGTCCTGTTTTTTTTTCTTTGCTGTCAAAGAGGAGGGTCACCTTGAGTGCCTGTGTGATGTGAAAATGAAGACCATTGCATGCGTGTGTGCTCCGATTTCTGTAAAAGTGAAGGACTTTACTTTTTTCCTGCATTCCAGTTCAAGCAATAATAAATAAGGAAGGAACAGAGTGCAAACCTGAGTAGAGAATTTTTTTTGTTCCTTTAGCATTTCTATTTATTTGCACATGGTTCTCATGTGTTAGTGCTCTAACATTAATCCCTTGTTTTCACAAGGAGCAACATCTGCAAAAGTGGTTGAAACTTTCTGCTCTTAGCAATTACACCTAACTATTGTGCCATCATGTGCCCACCCTCTTCTCAGTATCGTTTGTTAGAAGACATCGACTTGTAGCAGGCTTGGAGAGGCCTTACATACAACTTTCACTTAATTTTATATTTGCGGATTTATATATGGCTGTATATAATGAAATGTCATTTCAGTTGTATGCTTTATTTGTATCTTTCAGCTTTGTGTATAGTTTTTTTTTAAATAGATAAAAATGTTACAATACTCATTGGGTTTTGTGTTTTAATTCTTAACGGAGAGAAATAGCAGCCAACAAATTCTGATGCTAAACTTGGCTTTTTAAGTGGAGTGGTCTTCCTTTGTACTCTAATGATGTGGGTCAAATGACACTGGACACAGCTGTTGAAGGGTCAGACATTAAATAGTATCTTGTCTTTTATCATTTATCTGGTGTTTTTACCCGAACCAGTCTAAACTACATCAACATCTGCTTCTGAGGAAGACAACAGGATCTCAGTTTCACCACCAGATAAAATTGCTTTGTCAACATCTCCACCCAGATGGCATAGTATAAGCAGTTTGAAAAGCATTCTCCAAGTCTCCTTTTTACCAGAGTTGATCCTTGCACCTGAATTAAAATGACAAAATCAAGTTCTACTGTATGTACAAATACTACTTTTTAATATTCAGTGCTGGCTTTTTTTTTTCTCTACTGGCATCATTGCAAAATGAACTGTCACTGTAGCTCCAGAGTTGCTATGCGTACAGTTTTTAGAAAACAGAATATTTGGATCTGTAGTTAAAAGTGCAGAATTCACATAACGGGGAACTTAATTTTGGTAAAACTGGGGCAACACAGTGGCAAAGTGGTTAGCATTGCTGCCTTGCAGTGCTTATCCCTGGGTTCCTTTTCGGATTTGGGGTGCTGACTGGGTTCAACCTGCCGTGATACCTGTGTGCAGTTCATATGTTCTCTCCACGTTTGCATGGGTGTCCTCTGGGTTCCTCTGCGTGTCCTCTGACATTTCAAAGACTTATAAGTTAATTGGCTGCTGGGAAAATTGGTCCGGTGTGCCTGTCTGTGTCTGCCCTGCGATGGACAGTTTACCCTGCCTTCTGCCCTTTGCTTTCTGGGATAGGCTCTGGCTTCCCCCAAACCCTCTATAATGTATAATGATGCACTCAGAAATGGATGTGTGGGTGTTAAAATTGCACAATGTGCTAGTAGGACATATTATAATATTGTGTAGGTTGGTCACCACATTGCAAAACACTAATGCTGCTCTGGAATCAGTACAGGCATACAGTAGTCACCTACACTGATATGAGCAAAGAAATGAAAGGGGAACTGCAGTCCCAATTTCTCAGACAGGTTTTGAAATCTAAGCAACAAAATAAATTCATTGACGGTAAAGAAAACTTTGACAAACTTCGAATTAAGCACTAAATTGTGAGGTTTGTGTAAGTACTGTATGGTTGCCATTGTTGTCACAAACCTCTGGTCTCAAGACGGGCGAGAGTAAGAGTTTGCGAGAATTATGACTTGAGGGGGCCCTCCCTGCTCACTAGTCACTGTAATGACTAATGTAATGTGAATTTGAGTGAATAAGTATAGGTTGGTCAAGCAGACATTTCACCGCAGAAATGTTTCAACGTAATTTTCATGTAGTAGCGTTTTTCAGCGAAATTGTCTCAAAGCCGAGAGCAATATTTCTATTGGATTAAAAGTGATGTTTTTACAAGCCTGCTTGATTACAATGTCATAGGACCAGTTCATGTCACTAGACATTTTGCTGCCACAAAAGAATATGACGCTGCACATACCTGGAAACTTTTATTGTGATTTGAAATGCACTCATCAATTCTGATTCTTTCTAACCCCAAAATGTCAAACTCCTGTTTTAATTCTTTCACTTTCTCTTGAGCAGACAAAACTACAAGGGGACATGATTCAAGTATTAAAAATCCACAATTCACAAAACCAACTAACTTAAGAACATTAAAACGTCAACCAGATGACACAAGTGAAAAACAAGGGGCAAGAGCATTTAAAATGTAAAATGCCAGGTATTATTATACACTGGCTCATGGGTGTCTGGAACACCTGCATGTGGCCATCTTGTCGAATGTGATATCCTGGCTTTTTCAAAAATAAACTAGGAACGATCAATAACCTGCATGTGGCCATCTTGTCGAATGCGATATCCTGGCTTTTTCAAAAATAAACTGGGAACGATCAATAACCTGTTAGCAACCTTTCAAATGAGTTAGATGGTCTTTTTTATGTTGTGATGTTTTTGTCTTTTTTATACCCAGTATATTTAACAAATTACCTTAGGATTAGTGCATCAACATGATATTCAGCTACTCATTTCTTTTTTTTACTTGATGATGTCAGAATAAGATTAACTTTCTGCTTGGTCTCCAGATGGTGCTAGTGCCCCAGGTTTCAGACTGTAAAGTTTCTGCTTCTGAATTATCACCGATTTGCAGACTAGGCTATAGGCATTTTTTTATCCAGCTCCAGTAAAAAAAAGCATTGTGGGATAATGCCAGATTTCAATGAGAAACACACTAATAAGCATCAGTCACGATAGTATTTGCATACCTTCTTTCATAAACCATCATCTTGGCAAGACCACACTTGAGCATGTTGAAATGTCCTCAGTGTTCATTTTGTGGTAGTGCCTAAAGGATGACTCAATGTTAAAAGCAGAACTTTGCAAGGAGCACTGAAAACATCTTTGAAGAATTATTTGTATTGTTGCTCAGTAGACGTGTAACAATAAAAACAGAAGAAAACAGCAAAAAGTACAGTAGCTACAGGCATGTTACCTTTGACCACGTGTAATTATAGTGCAATGCACTTTGCTGAACTCGTACAAGCTTTTAATTAACTTGAACAGGACTTTTCAGGAATATTCTAAAATTGAAAAAAACATACACAGGTTTCCAAGGAAAAAGACAGAGAATGTGAAATCTGAAAGGCCCATAATCATGGGGATTCTTCATTTTGTATTTTGTGATGAAAAATAATAGGTTATCAAAATGTTTTTTTTTGCTCAAACACACATAGTTGCTTTGTAAAAGGATTCCCAAAGTGGTTCCTGGAAGATCTACAGTTAATCCTGTTTTTCTTGGAACTTTACCTTCTCAGAGCCTTTTTCTAGGAAAATCCTCAATCATTTAATTTGTCAGAGGGCTTAATTAGTAGAAGAACCAAATGGGAATAGAATTTGAAGCTGGGTAGCCATGAGAAGAAAGCACTTGTAGCACTCTGAGAGCACCAGAGGAGGAGAATGATAAAAAGGACTGCATTTCTGACGATGGAGCCAGGCGCTGTTACTCTTCCTTCATCACATCACCAGTTTGTAAAAATGAAGCAAATGAAAAAAAGAGCAAATCTGAGCTTTTGCCAACACACTTCAACCCCTGTGTTTTAATTGTCAGCTTTTAGTCATTTTTGGGATGACGAACTGTAAGGAAAGCCTTAAATCACCTGTGAATTTTGTGATGGCTATTTGAATCAGGGAGGGAGACATTAGCAGGCTAATCCATTGTTATAATTGCTTCATTTGTAGTCCTGCATCTCTTGAAGTGTACGCCATCAGATAGCTTATACTGTACATGCCTTTTGGAAGGTATGTGTAAGAGTAATGAACAATCTCAACCTTTTAAACCTCAGCTGACAGAATTGTGGTCTTCAGTATTTTACAAGGAACACACAGTGTTTGCCCAAAGGGATTATTTAAGATCATTCAACTTAAAGCAGTGCCATAATCAAAATTTAGAGTATCTGGGCTAAAACAAGAACACCTGCTTGAATCTAATAATTTGGGTTTCTTCAAGAATTGATTAGATCTCGCATTGGATTGGATTTTTTTCCCCTGCAGCACATATACTGAAGAAGGCTCCATGGCCAAAATGTGTTTTCTTTCTTCTTTTTTTCAGCATGGATTAAACCTATTACTTGTTCCTTTGCAGCCTACGCATGCTGACGCAGCTACCCCCCTGATCAAAAAGTACAGCCTACACCTGCTGCGACCCACTATGCCTTCTTCCAAATCTTTTTCTAGATCTCTTCGTCATACCTTTTCTTCCTCTCTGGGGCACTTGCTCGTTTATCTCACTAAACCAGAATTCCGTCTCTTCACGGCTATCTGTTCCAAGACCTGGTTTTCTAACCACCTTCTATTCCTTTACAGATGTCGTCGACATAATATCATCCCTAAAGGATTTCGCCTGAAATTTAATACCTTTTCTTTTGACTCTGATACCACCACACCTGAAGAAGGCTCCATGGCCAAAACGTTGTTTTCTTTCTTCTTTTTTTCAGCATGGAATAAACCTATTACTTGTTCCTTTGCACGTATCTTCTTCTTTAAAGAAATTGCTAACTTTGCACTTCCGTTTAAAAGTATAAGTGCTTTTTGGCGGAAGGACTGTTTTAATGCTTCCTAATGGATAATATACTCTACAGGTAAAACAGAATATAATGCATGTCCCACTTGATGACTAAGCTTATTATATATAGATTTAGATTATTTAGAGTATCTGGAATTTATGTACTGTCAAACTAAAATATATATCAGGGCATTGAATCCGAAAGACATTACAAATTTAGGAGTTGAGTTCTGTTTTTGATCCTTATCTGATAAAACACCTCATAAATACAGTACTTCATCTTGGCTTCTAATTAAGTTAGCATGTTCTTACTTTGCTTAATCCTTAATCCTGTTAATCCTTGAAATCTGTAAAATACTGTAGCTTTGTTTAAAAAAAAACACTGCACACTAAATGCCTAGAGCCCGGCAGCAAAATCTATTCATAGCTTTATGTACAATGGGCACTTTGCCCTACAATATAGTCTGTGATACAACACTAATCCAAAAGATTGCATCCAACATTTTGTCATTATACTGTTTTGGACCTTTCAAAACAGAAAATAGAAGTGAAATTTCAAAACAGAAGAAAGTTTAAAGAATATACAGTATATAGTACTGTACATGAGCCATGTAATAACCGAACTGTACACATTAAACAGCCAACATTTACTACACTTGCGTATGAAATTGGAAGGACTAAAAATATGCTCAGGTTAAATTATCACTAGAAAACCTTAATTGGACAGGTACTAAACTTGATTTTAAAATGGAGTAAGAAGCATAACAGGATGCTGAAAGCTTCTGTTTTTAGCACAGAAAAGTCAATTTTTAAATCAATAATAAATAATAACCTCTCAATAATACTTGGTGTCATGCGAGGTTT